AATCAACCTTATAACCCTAATTGCATAACAGTTTGCAAAATTTGATCGAGAAGTAGATCGAATCCATGATGAAAATGCAATTCAATTGAAATCAAACAAGGAAAAAATATGAACAGATCTACAAATAAATTACCTGAATCAAAGCAGTGGAGATAGCAAAAACGACGTACAGATCGATGATCTACAGAATCCAAAAAAAAAAATTTAGTCGGAAATAAAAATAGAGAGAGGAGGAAGAAGAGTTGAGGAGGAGAGAGAAAGAGAAGGACCTTGAGATTAGTGGGAGTGGCGGCGTAAGCAGAACGGAGAGTGTGGAATAAGGCTTGAGCATCCTTGCTTGTTGACCTCGCCATTGTTTTCTCTCTCTAATTCTCTCTTTCCGTACCCTCTTCTGTTTGAGCAGTGGTGTTGATTAAGTGAACGATGATGATCTTAATTCTTAAACTTCGACTTTAAGAGGGTTTAGAAGGGAGTACAATTCAACACATGGTTTGTGGAGGCTTAAACTTCGACTTTTAGAGGGTTTAGAAGGGAGTACAATTCAATACATGGTTCGTGGAGGCGAATGTATCATGCGCATCGTATATCCGTTTAAAAAAAACGGAAAGAATATCCTCCTTCCGTTATATATTACTCGCAACATTTATTAAAAATGGCTGCTACATATTAGTCGCAATAAATATTTTACTTTCCTTATATAGTAGGGTTTTCAAGAAAAATGACAAAAATACCCTTACTTAAATTTTTGGGATTCCTAATTACACTAACAATCTGATTTCATTAGAATCATAACATAGGTTAATTAACCTAACCATTCCCACCAAATTCATTCTTCTGCATCTAAATTTATATCTTTACCAACCAACTCATTCATTGCTGCATTCAATTATTCTCGATTAAAATGTTGGTTCAAGGGGATATTCTATTTGGTGGCGTCGTGGTTTTAAAAATTCTACATGGAAGACGAACTTTTTTTGGACTCTCTTCAGTGGCACCAAGGTTTAGAATAATTGACCATAGTGACCTTTTTTAGGTTTATGGCTAACCTTTATGGTTAAAATGGTTAACCTTTGATTTTTTTTATTAAAAAAATTATTTAAATTATATTTTAAAATAATAAAATTTGAAAAAAAAAAATCACCACTAGCCATTCTAGTACTCCACCCTGCCCAACACCCAAACCCAATCCACCTGCCCCCCGGTGTCGGCCGCTCCCAATCCTTCCTCCCCTGGTGCCGACGCCGACTCCCTCCCCCAGTCGCGACACCTCCCTTTCCTCCCTCCTGGATCCCCCACGAAACCCACGAAATCCCTAACTGAAACCCCTAATCAAGCAGCCCCGACCTCTAGAGAGGTGGCTGGTTTGGGCTGGAGAGAGAGGGAAAGGTTGCAGGTTTGGGCTGGAGAGAGAGGAAGAGGAGAGGTTACGGGTTTGGGTTGGAAAGAGAGGGAGAGGATAGGTTGTGGGTTGCTTGCGATGCTGCTGGGCGGTTTTGCGGGTTGCGGGTTACGAAGGAGAGGGACAGGTTACTGGTTACGGGTTGCTTGCGAAGGAGATCAGGGGTTGTGGGTTGCTTGCGATGGCGGTTAGCACGGTTGTTCGGTTGCGGCATGGTGGTGGAAAGGTGGAGGTTGGAGTTGTGCGGTGTTGAGAGAAGATGGGGTTGTGACTTAGTGAGGTAGGTGGTGGCTGGGCGGTTTTGGTGGGTGTTTGGCTGGTGGGCTGCGAAGTTGCTACCGGATTTTGGAGAGGAAGATGGTGTTGATGCCGGTGCTTGGAGGGGAAGGTGGTTGGAGGGGAGGATTTTTTTTTTATTAATTTTTTTTTTAATTTTATTATTTTAAAATATAATTTAAATCATTTTTTTAATAAAAAAAAATATCAAAGGTTAACCATTTTAATTAAAAAGGTTAGCCATAAACCTAAAAAAGGTCACTATGGTCAATTATTCTAAACCTTGGTGCCACTGAAAAGAGTCCAAAAAAAGTTCGTCTTCCATGTAGAATTTTTAAAACCACGAGACTATCAAATAGAATATCCCATTAAAATTTGGAGTCTCAAGAAATCAAACCCTAACCCTTGTTCTTCATTTTTCTCTTCTCATTTTCTTGCCTCTCTCGATCTTCCTCCTTCTCTCTCTGGATTTTTTTTTCAATTTCTGGGTTCGATCTCTCTTCCCCTTTCACCATGAGTACTCCTGATGATGACAAAAACGATCTTTTTTGTTATGCGTCCATCGGATCTGAAAGGGTTAAGGCAAAATCATTTGCTCCTCCAAAAAGGTACAAAGCTCAGCAAGGAACTGGGGTTCTCAAACCAGTTTGTCGTACCTCTTTAACTACTCTAAGGAGAATAAAATTGGTGTTAAACTTGTTGAGTACGTGTCGGACGTTGCTCTCGTTGAAGAAAATGTTTTCCAGCCCACTTCTGGGTTAGATTTGGTTGAAAAACCAGTTGCGGAGGTGGATTTAGCTACAAATCCAGAAATTGAGGTTGTTGGGAAGGGGATTTGTGTTGCAAATCCAGAAGTTGAGGCTACTAGGAAGGAGATCTATGTTTTCGGAGTGTTGGATGATGCTGGAGCTGAGCTTCATACTTCTAGGGTGCAAGATGTGGTGGTAGATGACGTGGTGGAGGCCCATGACTCCCCTGTGGTTATTGAAGGTGATGCTGGACCATCTACAGGGGCAAAGCGCGTTAAATCTGGGCTCCAGCTGGGGTGATTGAGGCAGATAATGTTTTTTCTTGCCTATTTGCAGAAGTATTACCCACAGTACTACACCCCCTAACTAATTTGGCAGCGTAACTACTTCTTACCTTATTTTCCTTGAATTATTTTAGTAATTTCATGTTTTATTTCATGATTTATGTGGTTGCTTGAGTCTCTCTCCATTTCTCTATTTGGTTATAAATAAGTCCCCTGATGGTTTGCATTTGATGTGTTATTTCTGTTGTTGTGTTGGATAAGGCCAGGGGAATGTGTTAAATGATGAATGATGAACGGAGTCCTTAATCAGGTTGATCTAGTTACTATGTGTAGACATCTAAAAATATCTCCCCAAAACCAAACCCGATGATAAACAACCTTTCACCTCATTATTGGTCGGGTCGCGTATTTAATCTCGGTAGTGCTTAAAATCCATATTCAATCAAACACAGCGTACAAATCAGTCCACAGATCAGTCCAAGTATTTAGTCAAAGCATAGTTCAACCCTCATTTCTAGCACAAAACCTTTTTAATCCATTTCATTTCTATTTATTAATTAAGCCCGATTAATAAATATTTTAAACCCTAAACCTAATTAAGCCCTGAACACTGAAACGGCCCTTAAATTATCCCGTACTTAATGTTAAATAAAAAAATAAAGATGAATTTAGATGGAATTCCAGAAAAGGCATGTGTCGTGCCACTGCAGAAATACCGCACCACGACAAATCTTGCCGTGCCATGGAAAATTGTACCATGTCACGACAATTTGGGTCGTGACGCAGCAATTTTTTCCGTGACGCGGAAATTTCTATGGTTTATTCCTTCTGCGACGACATATTTCTAGGGCTTCCGGACCTCACCCCTCACATTTCCTCTATAAATACGAGGCTGATTTCACAGTTTCAGGGCACCATCAGACATTCTAATCTCTCTCTCTCTCATATTCTATGCCTTAAACATACCCTCTTAATTACACCATTTATCCCCTGAGCACTCCTGGAGTTCATACAACACCCGAAGTTCCATACTTAAACCAAGGCGTGAAAGGTAAAACTGTTTGAGGGTTTGGCCCCAAATCAACTTTATTTTTATTTGATTTAATTTCTATTTTTATAATTAATTTTCCTTGAAGTTACTAACGCATTTATTGTTTTATAGTTGCAAGCAAAAGCAATCAAAGTAAGGAATCATGTTCCTTTTGTTCCTGTTATATTTCTAACGGTTTTTGTTATGTTTTTCATATACTAATCGTTGTTATTATGGTTAAATTGCTTCCAATGTTGATGTTTATTCTATTATGTTTATTGATCATCATATTGCATGTTAAAGGGAATATGTAATTGAATATAACGCATAATAAGATAATTTGGACGACCAGTTTAGGATCCTTTCTAATCTTGTTGTTTAATCGAAGTGATCACGATATTTAGAATAATATGTTGCATTAACATTCAACCAATTTAGCCTAATATCTAGTTTGGAGCAAATTGAATCTTTGTTTGTATGCCTTTGAGATTGCAGGAATTACTTTTCACAATAAGAATCGAGTAGAGGCCAATATGGGCGAATGTGACTCCATGACTCACTTCGTACCATCATCTCCGATCCTCCTTTCGTGGTTCTGAACCATATGGAGTTAGTAATCTTATGGATTATGAATGGGGTGTAACCTTCACGGGTCAATCGTTGTTGCCTATCATTGTCCCTTTTCGTGGTTGCCTTTTAATGATCCGTGAACGATTTACAAGTTCCTTAAAAACTTGTTGGCTGCTCCCTACTTTCCTTGTCCCTAATCGTATAATGTCAATTCCTACTTTCTATGATTGCCAAGCATATTCACAACATGTTTATCTATGCGTGCTTCGAATGACGCATTGAGTCCCTAAATTAGGCATGCATCAAGGTTTTTGTCATCCAAATGATGAAGGGACTCAACTGACAACATTTTGTTAAGTATGGATTGCTCAAGCATCTCTTATTGGAAGTTGTTGTTGAGGTAACTACTTAATGGTTTGCTTTGAGTGAAAAACCCTATCTGATGGATTATGCATTGGATTAAAGTACCCTTCTTGGATTTAAAAGCTAGAAATTTTCATTACTTTTACCAAAAGTGTGTTCTTGTATAAAAGGCAATTGCTACTCTAAGATTGTATTACATGACTGCCTATGAATGTTACATTAGTATTTACCAAAATACACATAACCAATACATAAACAAAAAAAAAAAGTTTATGTCTTACTGGTTATGTGTGGCAGTCCATGTGTACCAAAAGTTTCTTCTTACATCTTCAATTCATTAGCCTGCATCCCACCTCCATATCTTGTGCATCTACATTCACACCTGTTGCTGGAATGGATATGGTGTTTAAGTAGTTGACAGCTTGAGTGATGAGTCCCTTGTCCACTTTCAACAGCTGTGGAAGTCTTCCTTCGTTGTCTAATCTCCTCTTCCCCATGTGTGGTGGTGCAAAATTATTCCCACCTTGTTTCTCCAGTATTTCAATCATACATGATTGTAGAGTGATCCATGTATGCTTGTTCATAATAGGATCAAATTCTTCAAATGCCTCTTCCATTTTCTCAATTAATTCATCCAAATTTTTGGGAAATGATTGGTATTCAATTGATTTTATGACATTGAGCAGACCTAGATCCAATACATTGAGGTCTGGTGATTGAGCAGTTTGGAATACAAATTGAATGTTGAAACCATATGCTTGTGTTGCTGCCTGAAATTCATCATCCTTAGGGATTTGATAAGGCTTGGAATTGTCCCATTGTATGATTATATCCTTTGATAATTGAGCTAGCCATTGTGCATGGATTGTTGGTATGATGTTGTTGAGCAACATGTCCCTGATTGCTTCTTTGTTGACACTCTGAATTGCCTTAGTTTCTAATGTGCCAGCATCTCTGTTTTTACTTTTTCCTTTTGGCCCTTTCATACTTAACAAAAGGGAAAAGACCATACTTCCCTAAGTGTCCCATATGTCCATGTTCATTATGAAGGGGCTTGCCTATCATCCCCATGAAGATAGCCTTCACCTTGAAGCTCTTTAATTGTTGTTCTCTATATGGGTTTTCCTCATTTGGTAGAAGATAAAACCTTCTTGTTTTTGGGTTAAGGTAGAACCACTTCTTATCTAGTAGATTACTTGTTGCATATCCCTAAATGTAGGGTTACCAATAACTGGTATTGGATTCACCTGACTTAGTACCCCACTTCAGTCTTGTTATTTTGTGGTTGTAACTGAATACTGGGTGATTATTGCTTGTGTGTGTCCTTAGTCTGCCCCTTTTCTTTATTAGCTTGTGGATTGTGACATGTAAAACCTTAAGGGCTGCAGCATAGCTCCTTTTAGTGGTTCTTCTTCTGCATCTGAATTATCTGCTTCATGTGTTTCCATGTCGCCATCATTTGATTTTGTCTCTGTATTTCCATTGGAATAGTAATGTCTTCTTCCATTAATAGTTGTTGTAAACCGTAGAATTCTTCATCAAAGAAATTTTCCATGAGTCCCTTATTTTTTTTTATAGGTGATGAAGTGGTGTTTGACGTTATTTTTTGGAAGTTTTCAATGGAGCCTAATTTTTGTACATACTACTGCTGCTGCTACTAAAAGGGCACTTAAAAATTAGGACTAATTTTAATGGCTAATTGTAGGGTTCTTTTTTATTTCTGGTGGTTGATGGTTTTTGTAATTAAACATTACTATTCGAAACCCCCACCCCAAAAAAAAAAAAAAAAAAAAAAAAAAAAAAAAAAAAAAAAAAACTCATTTGAATCTGATGAATGATATGGGTGTATATATATAAGGGGATTTTGAAGTGAAAATGATGAAGGATGACATTGGGTTGAATTTGAGCAAAATTTGAAATTTCATGAAATTATTGGAGGGAAAAAAGTCCCTCTTAAAAGTTAGTCACATGTTTTTATTACAAAAAAATTGGGTCCATCAACTTTCCCTCCTTTTTTATCCCACTTAATTACATACATTTTCCCTTTAATTAAAACCCCTTCAATCGTTTACCTAGGAGTTCGCGCACAACTAGTTTGTTGCGAGTAACATATAACGGATCGGAGGGAGTATTACAAAAATATAAAGAGCATATTGCACAAATATAAAGAACATATAGCCAGAGTGAAAAGAACATATTATAGAATTGTAAGTAACTATTGTTAAAATGTAACGAACATGATAATTTTCGAGCATCCACTTTAAATACTAAGTAAATCTTTTACCTACATTTAATGGTAAATATTTAAAAAAAAAAATACAATTTCTTAAAATTAATTCCTCCAAAAATAATTCAAGATTTCATTTTTCAAAATTTATAATTTCAATTTTCAAATTATTGTTTTTGGATCATACTATATATTATGTATACCTTGTATTGTTCTTTACATGATTAAAAAATGTTCTTTATTAGAAAACATAATGTACTTAATTATTAACATTATTTTCTTTTTATATGATCATTATTATATCAAATAAGGAAAAATACACTTTATTAATCCCAATTATGCCCAATTTACTTTAAATAATCTCAACTTTTGATTATTCTGCAATAATCCCAACTTTCACCTGTGTTTTCTTTCTTCGATCCCAAACCAGTCAACAAAAGTCAACTACCATTTACTCTAGGTTACCCAACACATGTCAACAAGTGATTAGTACAAAAAATTAAAAAAAAAGAAAAAGAAAAAGAAAAAAAATAAAATCCAAACAACCAGGCAGCCACCAAAGGTGGCCCTTTAGCCCAGCCGACCCTCGAACCACCCCCTCTCAGCCCCCTGCCACCTGTTTTCGCCACAGAAACAACCCTAACACCAGAAATCGACCCCCCACTCCAACCCCACTTCCGAAATCGCCAACGTTGAAACGTCTCCCCGGATCTTCCGCTAGCTCTCCGCCAGCTCCTGCACAAATCGCCACCGCCCTTCCCCAACCCAACCCCCTAAATCGACCAGTTCCTCACCCCCTTCCTACAGCCCAGAAACCGATACCTTTCCTTCTCCCACCTTCGAAATTGGTCCCAACAACTACGATTTCGAGGCTTGGTCGGGGTGGGGGGAAGGGAGTCGGAAAGGGGTGGTGGCCGCATGAAATTGGGAATTAGGGTTGGAAATCCGGAAAGGAGGGGTCGGAAATGGGTGGTGGCTGGGGAGGCCGTGGCCATCGGTGGTGGTCATGGCAGGCTTGGTTTTGTTTTTTTTTAATCTTCTTTTTTTAAAAAAAACAATTATTAATATTTTTTTAAACCAATAAATAAGAGATACGCGGAAATTGTATTTTTGTAAAAGAAATTTAACTCTTTCTCCAGGTTTCGGGCAGTTGGGATTGAATAAAGAAAATGCAGATGAAAGTTGGGATTATTGCAGAATAATCGAAATTTAGGATTATTTAAAATAAATTGGGCAAAGTTGGGATTATTAAAGTGTATTTGTCCATCAAATAATGATAAACTATCGTAAATGTCCATATTCTTTGATTGTCAATGTAATGTACTTTTATTTGTGACATAATATTCATTGCTTATTGTGAAATATTTTTTGAATTTTGTCTTTAGATTATGGTGGGTGAATATAAATAATGTTCATTTCATAATATTATCATTTTCTTTATTAATATTACGGATGTTCTTTAGGTTTGAAAGTCAATCATTAATAGAGGAGGTCCCAAAAGAATATTGTCATCAAACTTCATTTTCTTGAATGATTCAAAAAAAATATATACATAGTTATTAAATGATAATTAATATTTAAAAAAAAATATAGAACTAAAAAAAATAGGAAAAATGAAAACTAATAATCCCACCTTTGCCATTTCTGCTCAAAACAATTCTACACTTTCGAAATCTAGAAATAATCCCACCTTTAACTCCCATATTCTCAAAACAAACCTTTTGACCTATAACCTGTTAAATAGGTTAATTTTTTTAAAAAAATTTAACTCTCTTCTTCAACCTTAAGTCTCCCTCCTTGCTCCTTCCATGGCCACCACCACACCACCTTCTTCCATGGCCACCTTGAAACCCCTTAACCCCTAAATTCGACCACCCCTTACCCTCTAACCCTCTAACCCCTAAATTCGACCACCCCTTACCCAAAATCCGACCACCGCAACCACACCCAAACCCCTAAACCCGACCACCCATGAAACCCTTAAACCTGACCCCCCACAAAACCCCTAACCCCCCCCCCCCCCCAAACCCCTTGATATGAGCCCTTTTTATCAAATTTTTTTTCCTTTGATTTTATTTATTAATTAGTCTGATGCTTTTAATTTGATTCAATTCTTCATAATTCTTGCTTTTTATATATTTTTATAGAGATGTTGAATAGGGGCAGACTTCAGCATTTGGTTTTGAACATTATTAAAAAAAAAAAATTTATTTTGTAAGGTTTATAAAATTGAATTGAATTTGATGAGTATGAATAAGATTATTTTATCTCGGGTTCAATTTGGTTTGTGATTATCGAACTCAATATTGAATTTCATGCTTAAGTATAGTGTTCTGTTTTGATCAAATATTTCAATGTAGTTGCAATGTTCAACAAAAGAAATTCACCAAAAATCTGCTTTTGCAATTTCACAAGGCCCTCTGTTTGTCGGGGAGGGGGCTTCTGTTCGCTGGGGAGGGGGTTGGTGTTTGCCGGCAGGGGTGGGTGATGTTGGGTGGTTGGGATTCAGGAAGAAGGAGGTTGATTCTTTAAAAACTTATTTTTATTTTGTTTTTTTAATTAAAAAAATTAAAATTGGACCAATTAGAAGGTGACACGTGGCAAGTCACCTTCTAAAACAAGTTACCAATTTCACAAACCGGTAAAAGGCTTGTTTTGAGAATATGGGGTTAAAGTGGGATTGTTTCCAGATTTCAAAAAGATGGGATTATTTTGAGCATAAATGACAAAATTGAGATTATTAGTTTCTATTTTTCCAAAAAAATATTCACAATTAATATTATAATAATTAAAATGGCATTAAAATCTAATTTAAAACATCTATTATGATCGTTCAATACCTCAAAGACCATAATAATTAAAAATGGCGTTAAAATCTTATTTAAGAATAACATATGTTAAAACATCTATTATGATCGTTTAATACCTCAAAGATCATAATAGTTAAATTCAAAGAACATAAGGTTGACTTTAAAGAATATCAGCAATAAAACACATACAAGATAAACAAGAAAAACAAAAGCTTAGAAGAAGTACATAAAGAATAAAACAAAAGATCATAAAAGATATAACAAAAGAACATAAAGTTTATAACAAAAGAACATAAGGGATATACAAAAATAACATAAAGATGAATGTTCTTTACAAAACTGCTATATGTTCTTTACAAAACAGTTATATGTTCTTTCCGCTTGGTTGGATGTACCAAGCTTGGTACATCCACCTCTACCATAAAAATGTCAAGTACAATTGTGCCAACACTAGGAAATTATCAAAGCAAACACAAAAACAAGTGTGATTTTAAGACAAATGGACAATGTGAAATTAGACTCGATTTTCCTCACCTTATTTTTTGCTGAACTGAATTGTATTTGTTGAATTGGACTTATTTTTACCGATTCAAACTTATTTTTACTTTATCTTTATCTATTATATTTGTTCTTTGAAGTTACTAATTTTTAGAGATTTCAAATTATGTTCACTAAAAGTAAATTATTTTTAGGACAATTTCAATTTTGCTACCACCAAAAGGCAGGCACCTCAGTTTTGCTACCCCTTAAATTTTTTATTTTATTTTACTACCACACAAAAACACATTGTTAAAATTTGCTACCACTTAACGGAATGAGTTAGGATTCTGTTAAGTTTATTATAAAAAAAAACTCTAACCCAGATTCCGGCAGCCCCTACCACCGGCCCCCTACCCCATTCCAGCCATGATCTACCTCCCCGATCCGGCCACCAACTCCCTTCCCTTCC